CTTGCCTGCTACATTAAACTTGTTCTGGATTTTGAATTACAGATGTAAAAATCAATAAAATATTGTTCATATTTTAATTTCCTGGTACAGAGACACTTGTAAATAGACTCATCTGGTTTCCAGTGTGGGCATTTCAGTCCAAATGAAATTTGACTAAAGTGCGCCTCAGTTTGCAGTATAAGAGGAAACAAGTCTCTGATAGATCAGGGCCTGCACTTCAAAGAAATGCTATTATCATTCAGTACACCTCACCGCCAGGTCTGAAGGTTCTCTCACAGATGATTCATCAAAAAGAAACATTTTCACTAAAGGTTTTACAAAAATCACTTAATCTAAGACTTTTATCTATTTCAGAATATTTAGTTCCTAATCCTAAATCTGATCTTCTGCCTCCAATCCGATCCTGGTGCAATGCTTTACCTGACTAACACTGCAAGTAAAGTGTTAGAYAACAGCTGGTTCTCACCATATTTAGGTCTTTAAAAATGGACACAAACTGTTCTTTAAAAAAGTGTTTAAAAGCGTGTCCTGACTTCATTTTACCCGAACATGATGGAGAGCATCCTGATGCCAGGATTCCAGTTGGTCCAGTCTGTTTTCACCTCACCATTTTTTCCTCATTCTTTAGATCAGTCATTGAGTGGACAGCTGGAGTGGACAGTACAGGATGTTGTGGTAAACCACATTCGTACCCCCACAGGGCTATAATTCTTTGAGGTATTTGAGGTGAGTATTATTGCACTGTGTGGGCGACACATACAAGTTGTTCTGATTGAATAGGATGACACCATTTTGCATGTATGTTTAGAGAAAATCTTATGGACTTTAAGACATAAAATAAATTTGAAGATGAGTTTTTGAAAAAGTCCATAAGATTTTCTCTAAAGTCAGAGTCAGTTTATAAAGAAATACTAAGTTTAAGATAAGTTAAGGTAAGATACCGTAAGATAAGATAAGATAAGATAAGATAAGATAAGATAAGATAAGATAAGATAAGATAAGATAAGATAAGATAAGATAAAACTTTATTGATCCCACAGTGGGGAAATTTGCATATCACTGCAGCTTAATACAGGAGAGGCTGGGAAGAATAATGAAAGATAAATAAAAGATAAACAAAAACAACCCCACAATATACACGTGATATACTGTATAGTACTGTACATTTACCAATGCACATATATACATATATATAAACACATATGCATATTTACATATATACATGCACCGTAAATTACAGTACAAAAATGAATGTATATGAAGGTCCATATTAGTGATGGCAGTGTAGATGAACTGTCCAAGTGACTGATAACATCATGATGTGTTGTATTGAAGAAATTTATAGTTTAGTACTGATTAAATACAACACAGAGTTAGGGTTTTCTATTTTATAATACCTTTATAATGTTTGTTATATTTCTTACAATGTGTTAATTGAAATAGCGTAGATACATGTCCGAATATAACAACACATAATTAAAGCTGTATTACATTAGATTGAGGGCTGTCTGTAAGAATGCCTGTGATTCAGCTGTAGGCCAGCAGGGGCGAACTCGGCATTGAAGATCCTGTTTTTATTGGTCGACTTCCTGTTATGACTCCAGTGTGTGGTTTGACTCGCCAGCTCATGGCTGAATAAACCCTCACTCCAGAATTCTGATGTTGTATGGCAATTATTTCTTTTCACAGATCGTTTTATTTAACACTTGTGTTTTCACCTGACTTCAGCCGTTATTGAACACATATTTCCTTACAGTATAATCTAACTGCAGTTGGAATGGATGAATGACCTACAGAAGCACTCCGTCCTGCAACGAGGATGTTTTAGTCTCTGACTGAAGGAGCTGCCCCCCCCCCCCCCCCCCCCCCCCAGCACGGTTTCATGCAGAGGGTGGTGGGGGTTGTCCATGATGGCTGTCAGCTCTGCCAACATCCTCCTCTCACCACCATTACCACAGGCTCCAGAGGACATCCCAGCGCTGAGCTTGACCTCCATACCAATTTGTCCATCCTGTTCCTGTCCCTTTCAGTACATCCAGCCCCCCAGCAGACCACGCCATAGAAAACGGCAGATGCTACCACCGTGTCATAGAATGTCTTTAACAGAGTCCTGCAGACACCGAAGGACCTCAGCCTCCTCAGTAGGTGGAATCGACTTTGGCCATTCTTATACAAGACGTCTGTGTTTGTAGTCCAGTCCAGCTTGTTGATGAGGTGAACACCCAGGTACTTATAAGAGTCCACTGTCTCAATGTCTTTTCCCTGGATGTTCACCGGTGCTGTAGGGGGTGGCTTCCTCCAGAAGTCTATGACCATCTCCTTAGTCTTGCTGGCATTGATTTGGAGAGCGTTGGTCTCACACCAGCCAACAAAGTCACTGATGACCCCCCTGTATTCCACATAATTCCTGTCTGATATGCATCCAATGATGGCCGTATCATCCGAGAACTTCTGAAGGTGGCAGTGGTCCGAGTTGTACCTGAAGTGTGACGTGTATAGGTCTCACATTGAAAAAAATCCAACTGTAAAAGTGTTAAGTTCAACTCCGCTGCTCAAACAGGTAATTCCCATGATGTAATTGTAGATGGTAGGCGAGTTACGACCTGTGTAACTAACTGAAAAATGACCATGACATGATTAGATTGTCAGCAAACTGCCACGCAAAAGAAAAACAATGTCATGTTCTGGGCCACCTCTGTGTGACCAGTGGTCCCAGTCTGGCCACCTCTACAAAAGCCGACTGGTTCTGCCACTGTACAACAGACCCATCTGTCAATCTCACACTCTGTTCTTCCCTTGCTCATGAACAAAACCCAAGAGATGAACTCCTCCACATGAGGTGGAACTAACCCCATAATCCGAGAGGGCAATCCACCCTTTCACCACTGAGGACCAGGAGGTTCTGATTCTCATCAGCTGCCTCACACTGCTGCGAACAACTTCAGTGAGAGCTGAAGATCACGGTAAGATGATACCAACAGGACATCATCATCTGCTAATAGCAGTAGTGGAATCCTGATGTCACCTAATCGGACTCCCTTTGCCCCCTGGATGCAGTCACTAAGTGGGAGCTTCTTGTTTTGTGTGAGGAGTTCGTTAAAGATGTGATTGGTTCGATTGACTAATTTGAGTGGGGTTTGAAGAARTCAGGAGCAGCTGGCGGTAGCTCGGTCTGAACGTCCAGGAAACATCTATATTTTTAAATTTAAATATTAATTTTAGTCAGAACTCAAAAAAGGAAGGTTCTAGCCAAACAGAATTTGAATGCCACACGTGTGGAGGAACGTGTAACAATTTGGCTCAGTCAAAATAGCCCTAACTCTGCTGGGAAATGGTCGCCAGTTTTAAATATTGTTCATTATTTGAGACAGGAAGGTGTTTGCCGCACGAAATTTGAAATCAATAAATTATTTTTACGTGTTCACAATAATTTCTATTTGAGACATTTTTCGGTTTTAAACTATAAATAGAAAGTCAATAAGTTATATTTAGGCTACATATTAACAATAATTCTACTACCACCATTTGTTGCGTTTGTGCCCCACAAGACAAGTCAATCTGATGAATCACGCTTTTGCCAAACTCCACTCACACAAATCCCAGCTCGGGGTCCTTTCTGGGTAGATTTTGYATGTTCTGTGCATTCGTAGGTTCTCTCCAGGTACTCCAGCTTCCTCCCACAGACCAAAAACATGACTGTTTATTTGGTAACTCTAAATTGTCCCTAGGTGTGAGTGAGTGAAATGCTGTCTGTCTCATTTGTCTCTATGTGTGTCCCTGTGATGAACTTGTGACCTGACCAGGGTGTACCCCGCCCCTCGTACTGTGACTGCTGGATATGGGCACCAGTGACCCCCGTGACCTTTAAAGGAAGAAGCAGGTATAGATAATGGATGGATTTATATAATTTTATTTTATAATTTTTTCCCAATAAATCTTGACTGACATTGATAAACTGCATATTAGGATCACTTTGCAGATGAAAAAAAAATGGAGGGGCAACTCCCCACCAAAAATCTCAGGAATCTTGAGATTAATTTCTGATTTTTTTTCGAGAAAAAACAAGAAATACTCTGAGCTCCAAAAGTCATAAATTTGTGAGGGAAAAAAATAAATCGCAATTTCTGAAATTATTCTCAGAAATTTTTGAGGAAAAAATAACAGGAAATTCTCTTAGGTGGAAAAGTCATACA